ATAGAAAATGTTGTGAATCTACATGGAAGAGGACGTGTGTCTACATCGTCCTAATGTACTAGGAGGAAGGTTTGAGTGGCCAAAGACTCTCCAAGGATCTCAGATGGAGAATTGCAGAAAATAGTTGTGTTGGGGTCAGAAAACATTATATATATACACACATATAAAAGTCTCATACATTTCTTACTACTCTCATCAAAAACAAACTCCAGCATATTCAGTTGTCAGACTTCAAGCGGGACTGGAATCTATGGTCAGATTAAAAAAAGAGAGAGCTTTTTGGCAGCAAACCCACCAGAGGGATAAAAAAATGTGTATGAATAAATATATTGCTGAATCTTATTGTTGTGGGCCTATTTTTGTTCAGATACATGGCATCATGGATTCTATCAAAAAACAACAGATTAAAAAAAAATTCAAACCTTGACAGCCTCTGCTAGCAATCTTATAATGGGCCGTGGTTGGATCTTCCATCAGGACAGTGATCCAAAACAAACATCACAATCAACACAAAAATGGGTCACTGATCACAAAATGAAGGTAATGCCATGACCTGAACCCTACAGAAAACAGAAGAGGAGAAAGTATCAACATGGACTTGTGTGGTTGTCAAATGAACAGATTCAATACGCTGACAAAATGTAGAAGAAGGGATCTACAAATCTAGTTTATGCCCCAAAAGCCTACAATCCCTCTAAAAAGCATAAATCAGTTTTTGCTTGAACTATTTATGCCCTTTCCCTGACAAAAACACATTGGCGGTTTAAGCACAATCATGTAAAATGACTCACGCTTACATTTGCACCAAAAGCTGATGACTATTAAAAATCAGCTCGTTATAAAACACAAGAAATAACATGACTGTTTTTTTAAACCAGCCCGACACAACATTGACTCAACTAAATGCGTGAGTTTAAGGAGAAATCACCTGTTTGTCCAAACAATAGCAGTCAGGAGAACTGTTGGGGAAACCTGTCTGAATACAATGATTATTATTCTATTTAGCGACGCTAGTGGCACATAAATTGCACTCTTTTAAGGTAATTATTTCACCGAGGCACATAAACACCACTGAGTAAGATGTGGTTTACAGTGGGGATACAGCTATTCAAATCAACATATTCAAACTCTAGCATACAGGCGGCCTTATTCCCAGTATATCGTGCCTTTAAAATCGTTGACTGGTTGAAAAGCCGACTGTGATCTGATCCCAGGGAATGACCCATGCATACTTGCCGGCGCCGTGACTAGAGCACAGCAGAAAATGAGCTGAGATATCATCAGCGGAGTGAGGTGTCATATGAAAGTTATTAATGATTACAGACATTACAGAATGAGATCATCTCAGATGCAGTGCCAACATGTTGGGCACATAGCGTCAGCCAGAGACACGACATTGTCCTTAAATACACACTCACATGCACAATAAAAACATGTTCGATTCTCAGAGAAAGAACATATAGGCCTAAGCATTATTTCCTTTATTTTAGGCATGTCCTGGAATATCAAGTTGCCAAGTTTGGTTAAAGCTAGGAAGGTGAACAGCGACTATACAAACATTCCCATTGCTATTCCAGGAGCGAGATGCTACTGCAGATCAGTCAGTCCACCCCCCCTGTAGTGGAGGGATAGAGATGCAATGACGGATGTCTGTCTGTTGGACAAGAGGAAGGGCGTGCCATCAGGGTCATCGCAGACTGAGTTTAACGAGTTTACTGGAGTGCCACAGGGGTCTGTCCTGGGAGATGCTCAGTTTCATGAACCTCGGACTCCACACTGTCTGAAGACGAGCATAAAACCCTCACTATGACACACTGATCACTATATATGTCACAATCGCACACATCCTTATACTGTACAGACAGTCATGCACACACAAATAGCATGATGACCTATTGCATCAGTTACAAAAATTTGAACTGGTTCGTTTAAAGACTTTGTTGGTGGTTTTTAGTCCATGTCTGTAAGCTTTGAGGATAATCTATATGGTAGTGTGAATTTAAAGAACACATGAAATCGCTTGACACTGAAAACAAGACAGACGAATTTCTATTTTAAATGTATAGAGGACCCCGAAGCAAACATATAAAAAGCACCACAAATCACATCACTTTAAAAGTACACAATAAGATTTTACTAGATGCACACTTAGGCCTGGTTTCACAGACAGGGCTTAGAATAAGCCAGGATTAGGCCTTAGTTCAATCAAGACATTTAAGTAGCTTTTATAAACGTGCCTTAGAAAAAAATCATTACTTGTGTTCATCTTACTTAAAAAAAAAGGAAAAAAAAGAAGTTGCTTTTAGTTAAAAGTTAAAACAACTCAAAAATGCATTTTAGTCTAGGACTAGGCTCAAGCTTTGTCTGTGAAACCGAGCAATAATGTTTAGGATAATATATAACAAAGAAATTGTAACTTATGTTGCAAACAGGGTTATCTAAACTTTGCTGAGTTGGGGAATTCAGCCTAAAACTTGTGATCTGCTGTACACAGAAACCCATGTATGATAAAAGTCGAGGGCTGCATCCGAAATCACATAATTTCCTACTATATAGACCTTATGCGAAACGAGGGCGCCGCCATCTTTAGAATGTTGTCTTTGAACTTCCGTTTTTGCAGTTGCTCTGTATATTTCTATGGCATCGCTGTCCAGGAGTAATTAGCTGGTGAAGTTGATTTACTTATTGTAGAGTTAACGAAAGTTATCATGAGCATTGTAATGTTTATGATAAGTATTGTAAAGCATATGTCTTAACAAATGGACCTTGGGAATTTTTTTTAACGAGCCGTTCATTCATAACTAGGCAAGATCGCTGTGAAAATACAGACCGGAAGTCAAAAGACAATGAGCGCAGCGCTGAAAAGGGGCGTGGCTACATAAGGTCTTATAGGTGGCGAAAAACAGTATGTGACAAAAGATGTCCGAATTCACAGTACTCATAAAAGTGTAGGCAAAATGTACCCGGAAGTCCTACAAATTCTGGTGAGATTCTGTGTGCATAGGATGGCCACTTTACTGTCCCATGAGGCCACGGGAGAGGATTTTGCAGTGGCAGTGAAGCGACGCAACTGACGCTGGTAGGTCACATGATAATGACAACATGGCAAATGTAGTACGTCGGTACGTCCAGATTACATTCATACTACATAAAACACACCTTTTTTTGTGGTCTTTACGTAATTACTTATTCAAAATAAGTATAATTAAGAGAGTGTGCGATTTCAGACACAGCCAAAGTGCATAGACATCAGCATAACTGAAGGTTAATATTAATAATAATAATAATTGCAAACACATTAAATTCAAGTCAGATGACTTTATGAATAGGACTTCTACAAGTTCTTTTTTTTTTGCTGGAAACTTATTTTACACATACTGTACATTACATACTTACTGCAAGTTTATGGCCATTTATTATTATTCTAATACTGTATCTTAAGATGCAAGTCTTACATCTTAAGATACAGTATTGGAATAATAATAAAACTTGAGTTTAAAGTCTTTGTTTCCATCTTACCCCGATTGTTGATCGCCTCAAGCTAGTTCCAGTATCATCTGCATATTGCTTTCTCAAAAATCTCGACTGCAATCAGCTGGCTTTACACAATTTCTAGAAGTCTGGGTGCACAAGATTTAAATCGGTTCAGCTGCAAACAATAAGTCAGTGAGCACTTTTCAGAAAGAACTCCTTTAAGGCCCGGTTTCACAGAGAGGGCTTAGATTAAGCCAGGATTAGGCCTTAGTTTAATCAGGGATTTTAAGTGGCTTTTATAAACGTGCCTTAGAAGAATAAAACATTACTGGTGTGCATCTCGAGACAAAACAATGTCTCTGACATATTTTAAGATACATCAGTGCAAATTCCTTTCAGGTAAACCAGCTCAAACATGCATTTTAGTCTGGGACTAGCTTAAGCCTTGTCTGTGAAACCGGGGGCAAGGAGGCCTCTACTTTAAACCTTATTAGCAAAAACAGGCTCAGAAGATGAGATTCACATTAGTAAATCTGTTCTTTCAACTGTCCGTTGTAATGAATTTTGAAGTCTTGAAGAGTAGAAAGTCTTGCTGCTGATTTTTGAAATTTTGTATTGGTGGCTAATTCTGGTTTCAACATGTTTGGATTAAAAATACAGAATAAAGAGAGTAGAGTAAACCTTCTTATATTGAGAAATACATCAGGACAGTTAACAGACAACACTTTATTTCTCAGATAAATCTTGTAACAAAACAACACATTTAAAACAGAAATACATCAAAAAGAAGTTATTCTCGATTTTAGTTTTCATTTAGTTTTGCCGACAACAAAGAACCTGAACAAATGGAGATGAGAATTAGCAGGGTTGAAAATAACGGATTAAAATGTCAAAAAACTTCAAATCGGACACCAATGCTGGAAACCCACTCGCTCAACTCAGTCTGAGGACTATAACAACTACAACTTATGACATCTGATAAAACTCGCCTTTCCCAGAGTTCAAAGCGCCATAGTCCAGGGCTCCATCCTCACTCACAGCAACACATGCAAATCAATGAAACGGATAAAGCACACAAGATGAGACAAGAGTAAAGACGAGTTGCGTAAAAATAAAAGCAAATGCACACACACGCAATTAAAGATTTTTAAACCTCACATTATGAAACACTAGAAGTAGTAAATGTAAGATGACTGAAGGTTTTCTAATGACTAGAGCTTAAAGAGGAATCCTTGGCAAAACTACAATAAATTCTCATTAGTTTCTGCATTTGAAATTATGCTGGTATTGCATCTAATGCTTGTCATTTTACCAACAAAAAAAAACATTCTTAACACTTGTTGCAGATTTAGAAGGATCTGTACCAGGTGGTTTCCATGAAAATGCTGATAGCAAAATAAATAATTTGATATACAGCATAACTGTCATATTCAAAACAGTAAAGATGCAACCTGTACAGGTTTCCAACCAAAAATATGCTAAGGGTAAAAACTGATATGGCATATTTTTTATGAAAAAAAACAAACAAAAAAACTTCCATTACACCACAGAACATTCATTTATTACTGTACGACTCTATAACCACTGGATAACGGTGTTGATCCATGCTAGATGTAATGAAATCTCGTGATTAGAAAATTGGGTGAATCTCACAAAACTTGTCAAGAACATGTTCAGGTCATATTTTTCACCCCAAAATCAAAAGAAAAAAATAAATAAATGATTAGTTATTTCACTGTTCACACATAAAGATGAAATGAATGCTGTGTTTAGGATCACTAACATATTTTTGCACTGTGAAATTAAGCACATTTCTTCTGAAATTCCCATTACTGTAATGCATAATGTATTGAGAATTAAGGTTCAAATGTACTTACAAAAACCCTCCTGAAAACGCAAAAATCTTAATGATCATAAAAGCGCTTAAAATAGCCTTGTGCAAAACATAATTCTGCACTTTTTTTCTTTTCATTTTAGGGTGAAAAGTGGTTTTACCATCACAGTTTTATTGTGAATAGGCGTTTTCTTTTCTTTTTTAAATGAATGACAAAGAAAAAGAAATGGCTGGACCGATTCATAAGAATTCTAGGCATGGTAAAAAGCAAGTATTATTGTAGTTTTGCCTGTAATTTCCATTAAAGAGTACAGCCCTGGTACAGTCCTCTAAAAGACTGATAGAGAAAGACAAGCACTATTCTTACACCAAAACCATCCGCGCCCCCTCAGCCTCCACCCTCATCCAAGACCGAGTCTCTGCGATTTGAATAATTCGTTCACTTTTTTTGCGTTTCAGAGATTGGTTCGAAATACCCAGCGGTTGTGGTGGTTGGGTAGGAGTTCTGTAGTTGTGCTGAGGTCAGACCTTCGTAACAGTGCACTGACCGTCGGGACACCCAGACCGATCGCCGCTACTCGCAGGCCCGCCACCAGGGGGCGGTCTGTCCAACTGCTGCAGTCTTTGCCTACTACCCTGAGAGCCCTCCGTGTTCTCCTCTTCACTTTCCTCCGCACCCTCCTCATCATTATCCTCACTCGTGCCAGACTCGGACTCGTACCCCGAGGCGTCCGGAGCGGCCGAATCCTCTTCGTTCTCTGCGTCTTCCTCTTCCGGCTCGGCGGGGTTCATATTGAGTTGGCCGAGAGCGTGTACGAGCTGAATGTCGCTTGAGGAAGCAGGGCTGGTCAGGTGACCTCCTAAGACAGTCGGCGGCCTTACGGGAGCCGGAGCAAAGACTCCCTGAGGACGTCCTCCGTTGATCCCAGTGATCCCAGTGTCCGCTCCATCCGCAGAGCTCTCTCGCTCCACTGTGGCTCCATCCACACTCACGTTTAAATCCGCGACGGCGGGCGCTGCAATGGGAACCGTTCCCGCTGTTACATTAGGATCCGGATCGAGTCTCAGCCCGGCTACGCCTTTTTTAGGGATGTCCATCACATCCCTCTTCATCCTCCGCCTACGCCCGTGTTCGTTCCTCCTGTACTGCACCATGTTCTCCAGATCGGCCACGTAGAGGAATCCGGCGATTAGCATCTCGGCGCTCTTTTTGCCCTTGTTGAAAGCATCCTCTAGCTCTCGGCTAGTCCTCTCGTCGTACTGCCACCATCCGTTACGCCCCTCGTAGTACCAAGCGTGCCCACCGGTCCCCGCGCCGCGTCCACCCGTCGCCGAAGCCTTCAGCTCATCGGGCGAGAGCAAAGTGGGACGCTCAAGGAAATCCTCAGGCACTTCTTGTCTGCAAAGTGCGCAGCGTTTGCTGTGCCACGAAGCGCCTTTCACGCAGAGGAAGCAGAAGACATGGCGGCAGGGCAGGCGCACGGGGTGGACGCAGCTCTGAAGGCAGATTGCGCACTCTGGGACGGGCAGGGAAGGAGACGACGGTGACGGACTTCCCTCAGTCACAGACTCCCCACTCACCTTCTTCCCCGAAGTCAGGGAGTCCATGGAAAGATTAACCTCGCCGCAACTAGCCATACTGTGAAGAAAACAAAAATACAATCAATTCACACGCAGATCAGGGAGAAATGTGCTGCCTACGCAAGATAATGTCAGCGGTACGTACGTAGATGTTACAAAGAAGGCACTGTTTACCAAACTATGTTGCCCAAGTCGACAAAAATCACGAGTAAACAGAGGCTTGCAGGAGTTCTTTGTTCATTGTGGCTCTGTATAATTAAAGCTTTTGCAATTCTACTCTCTCATCTGATAAGTATTACTCCACTTATATAAGAAAAAGAGCGCCATTCATGTAATATCTGTACATTTAAAAAAACTCATCAAGTGAATATAACTGTTAATATCGGGAAGCACATGTAAAGTGGAACCAGAAGCACAACGAATGAGACGAACGACTACACTTTAATGCTTTCTTGAAAACATTTCTACTGACTCTAACATAACCGTTTGGCTTGAATTTTGATTAGACAACCCGTGTAACATGCTCACAATAGCAGCCGGCCCAAATCTGATGCAGAAACGATCTAAATATATCATGACCCAAATCCTTCACATGCAAACCATTTACGGGACATTTTATGATGCTAACTACTAGCGGAAAATACTAGAATATCAGACATTCATTTTAGGTTAGGTTTATAATCAGGAAACGGCTAGAATGCAAAAGGCACAAACTGATAAAATAAATGATAAGTTACAAAATATAATGTTTCTATGCAAACATTTACAATAAATATCAGCTATAAATAATCAGTTGCATGTGTAGGCTATATTTGTTAACAAAATTTACAATAACATGTCAACTTGGCTGACTAGATGTTTAAAACTATTATTAATACTAATAGTGGTGATGATAATATCAAAATTCAATATACATATTTAAAAAAGTATTTTAAATAATCAATTTATAATTTATAAATCAGTAAAATGGTAAATGTACTAACAAAAGCTAAAAATTATCGGGGAAAAAAGGTAATAATATTAGTAAAACAATTAGTAAATTATTTATAAGCAAACATTTAAAATAAATGTCAGCCATAAAGAATTAGTTACATGTGTTTATTAACAAAAGTTACAATAAAATGTCAGCAAGGCTGGGTGGTTTAAAAGAACACCAAACATTAAAAAAAAACCCATTTAAACAGTAAAATACAAAAACAGCATATTAACAGACGCTAAAAAAAAAAGTAAGATAGATTGAAAAAATAATATTTATAAAACAATATTAATATACAAATATGTATATTCTAATAAAAAAATCAACTGGGTTCAATTGCGTTTGACTGTGATCATTGTGTTTTTAAATTGCATCACAGGCCCAAATCCCTCAACAACTCAAACACGAAACAGAAATCTATCCATTTATACTTTTAGCTATTATATTGGCAAATGATCTCACTCCATATGAAAGATTTCTGAGGCTTTGCTTGCGCTGATGTTGAGATCAGATCATTGATGGATCAGATTGAGGCCTGTCCACAAGACAACACCCCTGACCAAAACACAGCAACAACAGCCTAATTTCACACCAAACCACAATACCTGAACCCTTCACAATGGTCAAATCATAAGCTACAAACATGTAAAATGACAAATCTTCATAATCGGTAGGGTTGCTTGAATATGCGTTTCGATTTTTGCTGATTTTGCTGCGTGTTGTCTAAATGTCTTTCAGATTACTCACCTGAGAAAATATCCGAAATTTCGCCTCTTTCTTTCAGCGATGATCAGATTTGGCTCATCTGCTAGTCACCGGATGACCGATCATTGTTCGTTTATTGGCGTAAATTGATCGGTAACGCTAAAATTCGTTCGACGCAGATGAACACAATAATGTTTTCACGGCTCCTCTGTGATAACAAGAGCTCTGATGTGTGTTCGTGCGCATCCGCTCTGCGCAAAACTTACGCATTCAAAAATACTCTCTCATTCCATGAAATACAGTTATCGTGTTTTAGTAGTGTTTAAATCGCTGCGAAAGATTACATGAACGTGAACGGATCCGTATCATCCTGAGACCCAGCATAGAAGGGTTTACCACTTAAGAATTTTACATAATTATAGTATTTGGTACAAAACAATAACTCGACAAAGTATTAAAAAACAAACTTATTTCAAACAAAAAGCATGGCCTACCAGAAAATATTATAGTAGGCTACTCTCATAATTCATCAACTCAAGAGTTAAAAATCGGTCATTTGTATAATATTTTACCTTATATCTAACAATATAGTTTTATTAGTTTTGTAGGTTGGCTGTTGGCAGACGAAATTGGGGCCTGCCATTGAGTTATTTGAATATGATACGCATTTTGGACATGCACAACATATACCAACCATGGTATACTTTGGTTTGGAGCATCTTTTTAATACTATGGCAGCTACATTAATAGGGTAACCATACCATCGAATTCTGTACCATGGTACCACAAGACATTTTGTAAAATTATTATTATCGGTTAAGATAAAACATTTAGTTGTGAAAGGATGATTTGTAAAAGCATCTGATTTCACATGTCTGGAGTGTAACATTATCTTGCTGCTGAGACTTATTAATGAAATCATATGCATCCATTTTGTGTTTATTTTCAAGACATTGTCACTAGATGGCACAATTGTGTTAAAAAAGAAGAAGAGTTGAAACAGACGCTTGTGCTTTAGGGATTAGCAGTAAATCTGTCTACACAACGAACCAACTAATTCAACTAGAAAAGGAATCTATTTTTATTTTTTGCAAGTGGGTTAAGTCCACTTCCGGTTGTAGTTCTACTTACAATCAAACATATTTTTCTCTTAAAAATGTGATTGAATACTCAGCACCCTGGAACAGAGGATATCAGATTATAAAGTTGGCATCTTTCCTGTTATGCTCACCGAACTGCATAATCTCAATTATAGCAGGTATAGTAATAAACAGATCCGTGCCTATCCTATTCACACTGCACGCCTGCAGGATTTTGCTTAAGTAACAGCATGTTCACTGCAGCCCATCTGTAGGCCTTGTTCTTCCAGTATTACACTTTAAAATCTCACGTCGTTGGATGTTCTTTGTCACATCTGTGCTCGAGGGAATGCGGTTTCATAGAGGATCAAATAACTCTTCTCGGTGTCTTGGTGTTGTGATGCAGAGATAATCAGTTGATGCGTGCAATCGTGTGTAATACACGGCATTAAATGAGAAAAGTTCTTAAATTAGAACGGAAAAGAATGCGTTATTCCCTGTGGCTTTGTTACGCTAGGATGGCTGTGTGTTCAGTGTGTGTGTTTACATGTGTGGGAGCCAATGCATGAAATCAATGAGTGCTCATTTTCCACAGCTGTTATACGACGGCACATAAACCCTCTCAGTGTGAATGACAGAGATCTTCCACACGAGACCTCTCTCCTTCCTCGGGAGGGTTTCTTTCCCATGCGCCATCAGTCTCCATTTCACCCTTCTGCTCCGCAAACTTCCCTCTAATTCCCACTTTTTCATTCATTGGCACTTCTGAACTATTGCAGCGTTGGCTACCCAGGCCCTCGAGGATGATGGTATGAACCATCATCTAAAGCACAGGAACTCGCTGGAACGTTTCCCCGGGGATCTCGTTCCTAACATGGTTTCCTCATCCCCTACGCCGTCGCGAGGAAGAACCGCACTGCTCGCTTGTCCTCCTTTTTCACGTTTTTCTTTGAGCCGTGGCTTATTGTCAGCAGTTTTTCAAGGCTCCTGTCACTGGCAGCCACCTGGTAACAATAAGATACCATCAACTGCGGAGGAGAGGAGGCAGCTAAACTGGGGCGTTGTAATGAACGCACACACAGACTCGCAGTATAAGTACTATGCCACACATCCATCTTCTCCGGTTATTGGGGCTGCATGCAAGCAAATGTTCTCCCAGTCATTGTTGTATACGGTAAAATTAGAAATAAACATAGCTAGTGGAGCTGGATTCCTGCTGAAATTACACTCGCAGGGAAATGAGCTGACAGGAATTTCACTTGAGACCCCATTTGCAAACCCAGGTCACAGTTTGCATGGCACACATTTATCATTACATATTATGTAGGGGATTGCATGTAGATTATTAGGCGATAGTTCTAGTTCTAGATGTGCTGCACCAAAACTCCCAAGCAATATCCTCTGTGACAGACTATAAACTTCAGGGCAATTAAAAGGCAATTACGCTTCGATCTTGGATTTTGAACAGAAAAAGAGCAACGTCTAGAGAATGCATGCGAAATATGAAACTTTTATGGCTCTATAAAATCCCCAAATAGAACAAACTTTCTGTTTAAATTGAGAATCTTTCAATGAGCATTATATGGGTAATTTGTGGAACAATAATGATAATTAGGATGAGGCTTTATGTTAAGGTGGTATATAAAACAACCTGAGCTCTGTGTCCATAAATCTGAGCATTAATATCAGAATTTAAACTTCAAAGCAATGAAACCTCCACAAAACAGAGCAGCATTAATCTCAAGATTATGCAATATATTAAACATGCATGGTTGCATTACATCTGCAAATAGTTTTTGAGTTATGAAAGATTTCTATCTTGTGTTTAAGTTACTGTTGATAATAATTCAGTGAACATTACAGGCAGGTGATACATGGAACAGTTATGATAATAAGAATATGATTTTATGATTCTGTGGTATATAAAATATCCGTGTGTGTGTTCAGTAGACTTTAAATTTCAAGGCAATGAAACTCAATTTGGCAAAATAGAAAAAGAGCAACATTTAGATGAATTATTATATCCATTTCTGTTCTCCTACTGGAATAAAATGTGTGTGTGTGTGTGTGTGTGTGTGTGTGTGTGTGTGTGTGTGTGTGTGTGTGTGTGTGTGTGTGTGTGTGTGTGTGTGTGTGTGTGTGTGTGTGTGTGTGTGTGTGTGTGTGTGTGTGTGTGTGTGTGTGTGTGTGTGTAAAATACTGTTGCATGCAGGTAATTTGATGATCATTAATAAGTAGACTTCATGTGTTCTTCTCAAGAAAATGTGAGTGGTGCTTTACAAAAACCCCATCCCAACTGTGGGTTGTTGCCAGGGAATTGTTATGCAGTTGCTAAGGTGTTTTGGGTGATGCTTAGTGGGCCAAGTCAAAAATGTCCAGCCTAAAAAATGACAAATAAAATGGCTTAAAAAAATGTCCAGCCTATATTCAGGGTGCTACTGTATTTTGGTTTTATCATCCAACAGTTCAAAGTCATTTGGATGACATCAGTAATAAATTACAAAGAAAATGTGTTGCCTATTATATTTAACAAATTAATTCTGGTGCTTTGTGCCCAATAAAATATTGTTAAAAATATCGTGACATTTTTAGAAGTGAACTTATTCACATTTTTCTTATCAGTTTTTTACACTGGGTTTATGTTGCATCTTAATATTATTAATTATTAGTAAATATTCAGCACAATATCGTGCTGTGTGTGTGTTATTACCTCGTTTGCTGGAAGGCCAGGATCTATTATATTGTGTTGTTATCAGGACATTTTCGGTTACCAACATAATCTAATAGGTAAAAAATATTTGACATAATCATCAATGTGTCATTTTATTAAAAGATTCCCAGGCATGCTTAATTTTGTTTTTGTTTCAATTAGCGCATTCATCGGTCAAATATTTCTGAACAATCACCGCTCATCCCTCATATCATTCCGCGCGCTCTCTTTATAAAAGGTAGAACGTGGAATAGCACACGTCAGAAGTTTGAATAGCTAATTGGCGCCATCTAACGGTTCTAACAGTTATCCGACTGTGGGAAAATATTTTGTGTATAAAAAATGAAACATCGATTGAGAAAACAAAAAAAACGAACCGGTAAGAGGCACAAAAGAACTGGATAAAAAGAACTAGAATTTATTTAGAATCGCAAATGAATAGGCCTATTGATTTTTATTGTAGTTTTAGCGAATCAATATAGCCTACATGAATTTATTAATTAGTCTAGTAGCCGTGCAATAAGCTGAATAATGTAGCCTACTGTCAGCCGGCCAAACTTTTCTATCTCTGATTAGGACCGAATTGTAAAAAAAAAAAACTAAAAAAAAACATAATGCACAAAATGCCTCAAGTAGCTAGCCTAATGTTTGTGACATCCCGTATTTCTACGGTTAAGTTATTTGTTCCAAAGCTGGCCACCGTAAATTTAGGGGGGGAAAAATTATTTTGAGTGTGCGCGCGCAGATTTGAGCGCTGTATGATGATGCGGAGAGAGAGAGAGAGAGAGAGAGAGAGAGAGAGAGAGAGAGAGAGAGAGAGAGAGAGAGAGAGAGAGAGAGAGAGAGAGAACGCGCTCCTCTTTGTGCGCGTGTCTGTCTGTCAGACCTTCACCAACACAAGACTCAAGTCAAGACTCTCCAGCTGTCATGTAAAATCAGGTAAGACCTGATACCTTTTATAAGCGGCAGGTTTTGCATTTCTCATCATCAGCATTTCAAACTTATTAAAGCGGAAACATGCGCTGAATGTCTGGATATCTACAGGCACTTATGGTGAGTCCATAGACATGTGCTGTGGAAAACGACAGATACTCGCTGATGTGTTCTGGCTGGCTGGATGTGTCTCATGTGGCATGTGGATACATTTGGGGAAAAATACACCTTTTGCTTTCGCTCATGCTGAATTTCTGACAGATGGAGACGCTCCGCCGCCGCGCGCTGGTGACCGGTTACCGGAGCGCGCGGACTCGAAGTGCACTATAGGCTGCTCGTTTACTAATTAGTGCTCCAATCGTAGTGTCTTTGGGTCAGTTATTACGGGTTCAGTCATGTTTGAATAATCTGAGGTCAGCGGTCTATCGAAGGCACGTTGTAGTTTGTGATTCATGAACCGGTTCATGAACAATACAGTGGATAGTTCATCAAGCCTTCTGGGGTTTGAACCTACAACCTTAGCAGCTGCTCAAACTGTCTCAGTTAGGGCAGTTAACAGCTGTGTGCGCATGCGCTGTAGGAGACACCGGGGCAAGTTGTCACACCTCTAAATCAAAATTAAATTAGTCACCTAGGCTAGATAGATCACTACAGGGGGAAAAAAATATTTCTGTAATTGGACTTTTGACTCGAAATCTTATGCTATTTAAATATAGACCTTGTGACAACTTCCTCATGCAATTATAGACCTGCTCTCTCCTACTTGTGAGGAATCCAAAAATGTCTGTAAAGTTTGTAGTGATTATAAATTGCCTGATGTGAGAACAATTGAAGTTTATGGGAGGCCATCAGAAGTCTATGGCTCTATTCCAAAACCTAGCAAGCTGCATACGTGGGCCGCATCATAAGAACGTTCCAGACGTGAAGTCTTTTCCAAAAAAATACCTTCTTTGAGAATTTTTTGAAGCAGGCATTGCATGTATCATTTGCAAAACAGGTATTCCCACAATGCATTGTGAGTAAATTCCAAGATGGAAGAAAGAGTGAGTAGTTTAACATTTCTGCATTTCTATCTGCATATGTAAGCAATATAGTACTATAATTAAAAATAAATAAAAACAAAACGAGAAATATTACTCTTTTAATATTTCACTCTAAAATATTATTTTATAATAATTTTATTTTACATTACAACTGTAAAATTATAATAATAATGTCTTAATCTCTTCATTTTCAAACGTTAAACCATCAAAAAAATTACTGTATTCATATCCCATGTTATTATAAGAAGGAACTTTGTTAGTGATATTCGTGTGTGTGAGTAGAAACTTGGTTTCAGTACGTGTTGCAAGAAAATAATGATCTTTATGACAGCTCAAACCTGGCTGTCAGGCTATTGTGCTTGTTCATATGTCTTGGTTCATGTTTACCCTTTCAGTTTAGTCTTCATCGTGCCCTATTTAGTTTCCTTAGTTTCCTTAGTCACCTGTTGTTCATTTAGTGCCCTTGTTAACTCGGTGTGTAAATACTCCCAGTTCTGTTCAGTCCCTTCCGTTCTCGTGTGATGCAAGCGTGTTTGTTCCCTTGCGTATATTCTCTGTTTAATAAAAGTATCTCTATTGATTTCCTGCGTCATGCATCTCCTGAACACCAGCAAATTCGTGACACTGGCAAACTGGCATTAATAGGGAAGTGTTTTGTCTTCTCCTTGATTTCTAGTTTGTCTCTCTTAATGGATTCTATGCATCAGTCTGAGCATTAAAGCAATATTACTGCAACAACTCACTGTAATTAAATTCTCGCCCGGTCAGGGTGTGTGTAGGCCTATATGTGTGTGTGCGTTTGCTCCAGCTTGTTCATTAAGAACAAATTTGTTCAACAAATGTTCTGCGAATTATCAGTCCCGGACTGCCTGTTAAGGATGGATTCAGCTCAGCTTGCAAGAAGAAGCTCAGATCTGCGTGAGATACTCAAGTGAGTTTCATATCCAGTGCCTTTGTGGGGTCAACCATTTAAGGCTTTACCATTCTCTGAATCTCACACATGCAATATGTGTACGTCTCCTGTCATATGCCTGTGCGAATCTGACAAGCTCGTGGGTTATTTTTACTGGCGGCTGTGTTTGAGTCCAGTGAAGTGAGACTGGAACAGCGATTTGCCATTTGAGATGCAGTGACCATTCATCGTTACCCTTTCGAGCCTGCATGAATCAAAAATATTCATAAACCTCTCACATGCACTCTAAAATGTATTCGGTTTTATTTTTTGGCCACTTCCATAGCTCTCTTTTTTAATATGTAATACTCTTATTTAATATTATATTATTATGATGTTTTATTATTTTATTTTTAAATCTAACAAGCTGATGCATTCATTTTCAAATCGAAAACGAAATAAAAAAATATATATGTATTTTCTGAAGTTCTTATTTTGTTCTGTTAAGTTTCTTTTTAACCTTCACCCACAGCAGAAGTTCTCACTTGCTTTAAACACAGTTTTCCTATTACAGATTAAATCTTAATCAAAAGAACTTTTTAGAAGTTCTTATGCACCGGAGAAGCTGTGTGTCCCTAATGAACAGAGCTCTAATATCTGCTCTCCATAATAATGCGGAGTTTGTTTTTGATCATTTGGCCTGAAGACTGCATATTATTCATACTGACAGTCAGTTCAAATTTATGTTTTGAGGTAGTGCTAAATGATTTACTTTACACTTTGTAAGCTAAGCAATTCCAACGCAAACCTCTCTCTTTCACCGTCTAAAAGTTCAAAATTGTGCATTTATAATGTGGCTATTTCAGAAACTACGGAGTGGTGGATCCAAGCGCAGCAGAAACAGTTATTTAAAGAAAAGCAGCAAAAGTAAATCCAGGCAAAACTAGAACTAAAACAAACACACATGTATTATTCATCGAGGAAAACAACACACCAATAACATAGCAAACCACTCGGGTTTGAATACACAAGACAACCAGGGATGTAACAAGGAACAGGTGTAAGTGAGCTATGGAGATAAATATGGGCTGTGTCCGAAAATTGCCCCCTATACCCTACCCTTAAATAGGGCACGATTAAGCTTGTTTGAGATGCGCTTCGAACACAGCTATGGAAATAACCCAGTGACTAAGCCATCGGCAGGCGGGAGGAGCTGAAAACTGACACTTTCTGCTTCCCGTAGTGACCGCACGTGGTGTTTGCATACTTTATGAGTGAAATAAATGCAATATTTGTCAAATACACAGACGTTTCAGATACGTTTCCATAATACTTTATGTACTACAGCGTCTGTTTGTACAAGAATATTTGTTTGTTCAACATAAGCCTATACTATTTAAATATCCAACACTATCTCACGACCAATTCGTACGAATTCGTACGAGTGATTAAAAGGTGGCTAATTCGTACGATTTGTCTAAACCCACGTGATGGATAGGTTTAGGAGCGGGGTCAGGGGTAGGTCATTCATACAAATTTGGTAACTTGTAAAATATGTACGAATTAGCAAAAATCGTACGAATTTGTACGAGTGAGGTCGTATGAATTCGTACGAATTAGCCACCTTGTAAAGTTCGTACGAATTGCCGTGAGATCGGGTTGAAATATCAATGTAGTCTACGTTTTTTTTTTATTACAGGGTTTTATTTTGATAAACATGACACAATATAATAATGTGACTACATGAAAAGAGATTTTACTGTTGTAAAAATGCTGATTTGTGAGCATTAGTGGAACTGAAGGTGTTCGAACAAACACGAAACACACATGATCGTTGTCATGCGGTGAATCCGGCCAATCGCGAAACAGCATAAGACTGCCATAAATTCAAAATGATGTTATCCATCATTTAATCGTGATATTTGTTGGAAAACTAAGGTAATACAAACATTTATCAATCACAAAACCATTGTTAATTTTCCAGGAGCGGTGAACAGTCTTACGAAAAACGAGAGCTTACAAAAGCAACAGAAAACAATCCGTTCTCCATAAAATGTGCAGCGCACAGATAAACGTTTGGGTTTTAATGTTCAGGAACAGTGTTTAAAATACATTTTAACCACTGTAAGTTCATCAGCCTTAGGAAGGTCAAACAAATGAGTTTTGGAAATGTTGTGGAAAAAACAGCATCTCTTTGACATGGCAGCAGCTCAACCAGGCCTCGTCCCATTTTATTTAAATGATTTACCTTATGACTTCACAAAGCCCGGAAAAAAACACGTTGTAATCCAAATGAGCCGTTCGTTGTAGTTCTTGGAAAGTGGATTCTGTTTAATAAAATATATCCCTTTGGAGGGGACTTTGAGCTTTGTGCCTTCTCTGATTTTGTAATGCTCAAACAGCAACATTACACACTAACTAAAGTTGAAAAAGTGGAAAAGCATAATAGGACCCCTTTAAGAGTGATCTTGCCTATGCAAAAGTGACCATTGTGATTTCATAGCAATGCTTTGATGTTGTGAGTGTTGATTTTTTTCACTTGTTGCTATGCGGCCACTAGGGTGTTCTGGGTGGTTGCTATGTGATTGCTAGTTGAAGTCAAAAGAGCCATCTCGAGTCTCATGATATTCTGGTATCTGGTTCCCAGTTATTGTGCATACGGTATAATTTTATGTAAAGAAAGAAGACGCATTGCATTGTAAGTGTATTCTAGTTGTAATGCACATGTTGGCAAATGTATTAAGTCATCAGGGAGTGTAGTGCATTTAGGCAGTTGGCATACTGCAAAATTATATACCACAGGAATAGTACGAGTAGCATGGTAGTTTTCTCTTCCAAAGATAGCAAGAGCCAAAGTGAGTTTAATGGGTTGGGGAAAGGGGTTTAGGCCTCAGTGAAACTGAAGTGTATCAGAAGGAGCATGCGATGAGATGAGATGAAAAGGAAAGATACAAGTTTGATGTTAATATTGATGAGCAAGTGTTAATGTGATCCTAAAAGCAGCTCTAGCAGAGATGACATTATCCCCCCTTTTTTACCTTTGAGAAGGGCTTGAAAAATGGGACGAGAAA